ATATATATATATATATATACAGTAAAAAGTAAGTTTAATAACATTATTTATCTACAAGCACATAGATGTTTAACAGCCCATTAAATTACACCAAAATGCAGAAAATCACATCTACTTTATTCAAAATTTTCTGGGTTGTTTTACATTTTAAGCCTTGTTACTTGGTATGACTACTGCTGTTAGGATTCTGTTCAGTTTTATGTAAAGAAGTGTCTGTAATAATTTGAAGAAGTGGTGATACATTTATTGTGTTCATTATATGAATACCGGTAGGTAAAGTTTTAAAGTGGTTTTTGATGCTGTTAATTTTCTCAAAACAGTAATTTTTCGGAGTTTAAATTTAAATTTTTGTTAATAGTGTCTTGAATGAAAAATACCTCATGTTTAAAAGCATAAAAAATGTATTCACACTATTAAATAACAGGTTTTAAGTATTTATGTTACACAAATATTTCCATTGCATTAAAGAAACTAATTGAAGAAATTTGTTCAATAAAAATGAGGCTTATGAGGTGATCCCTGAAACTTTTCCTCCCCTCTAAGGGGTCCCTGAACCCAAAAAGTTTGAGAACCTATGCTATAGGTGATGCTAATAGCAGTTAGTGCCTGCTATTCAACGGCAAACCATGACTTAAAGAGCGAGGCCTTCAGTTAGGATAAAATATTGTAGCAACCTAATACAAGCTAACATTGAAGGCATTTAGGAGGTGCAGTACAATTACATTACTATACTTTTAGTAATTCAGATTCTCACTGGACAGGAAGTGTTTTCATTCTTTTTTTCCCATCAGTAAAAGTCCATCTATTTCTGTCCCAACACTACCCAGCATGCCACATGGCGCAGCCAGTCTTACATTCAAGTACAACATGTAATTTTAATAATTCAGACTGACATTTTACAGTAACCCACATAACTTACTGTTTCTTTAAACTTTCATTATGTAATAAGCTAAAATACAACAGTATTATTGAAAACTATTGATTCAAACATTGTTTTAGACCATCTACAATTTCCTTGTGGATTTTTGAGTTTACATGTTGCTGTTGTATGCATTGTAGATTTTCACATGGTCAAAAAAACGGAAAAGGCAAAAACAAACAAACAAACAAACAAACAAACAAACAAACAAACAAACAAACAAACAAACAAACAAACAAACAAACAAACAAACATAAATGCCTGCAGGGTTAGAGTCCAGTGTGTTGGCCCCACCCACTGCACAGTAATGTTTTGACTGGTTAATCTTCCTGTCAGTTATTAAACAAACTCATCCTGCAGTGACTTTGACTGAGCTCCCAAGTTTCTTGCTCAACTGCAAAATAGTTCACAGAAAATGACATAATACAAAGAAAAACTATATTGAAAATATCTGTTTTATATAAAATACATTTTCATATGTGCTTCTTAGGCCATTTCTGAAAGCCCTGAGGGTTCCCAACTGCAGCTAGCTAGCCTGAGATAAAATGATCTAATAGCCCAGATTTTGAATTGTTCTTTTTTTGTCAAGTGTTTAGTAGCTCTAATCAAAAAATGTTCAATACAAAAACAACGACTTTATTTGTAACAGAAGACGTTTCGCTCCTCATCCGAGGAGCTTTCTCAATCAAAGAGCAGTGAGTGAGGGGTTCAGGTTATAAGGCTGAGTGAGATAAGACACACACACATATGTAGATTGACAATTCACACCTCAACACCTTAACAGTAAGAGTCTTTTGTTCATCTAATTCACAGACGAGGCCCCTCTGTTCCCATGAGGTGTGAAAACTGGCTGGAAATCAGTCTTAAAGTTGCATTATAGGTTTTTGAAAGTGGAAATCTGAGGCCTCCTCTGTTAAGAGATGTTTTTTTTTTCTCTTTTTACATAAATTGCTTCCTTCATCCCCCTCTCAAACCATCTGTGTTCTCGGTCCAAAATGTGCACATTTTGGTCCTCAAAAGAGTGTCCCTTATCTGTGAGGTGAAGGTGAACAGCTGAATCGTGTCCTGAGGAGCTGGATCTCCTGTGTTGAGCCATGCGTTTGTGAAGAGGCTGTTTAGTTTCTCCAATGTAGAGGTCAGGACAGTCCTCGCTGCACTGGACCGCATACACTACACCACTCTGGTTGTGTATGGGTGTTTTGTCCTTAGGGTGGACCAGCCTCTGTCTGAGAGTCCTGCTGGGTTTGAAATGTACTGGGATCTTGTGTTTGTTGAAGATCCTTCTGAATTTCTCTGATGCTCCAGCAACATAAGGGATGACAATGTTTTTACGTCTGTTGTTCTCCTTTTTCTGTTTATTAGTGTGTTTTGTAGATTTCCTGACTGACTTGACAAAAGCCCAGTTAGGATATCCACATGTTTGGAGAGCTTCTTGAATGTGTTTCTGTTCCTTTTCCTTCCCTTCTGTCTTCATGGGGACGCATTCGGCCCGATGCTGTAAAGTTCTGATGACAGAGAGTTTGTGTTCCAGTGGATGGTGGGAGTCAAACAGAAGATACTGGTCTGTGTGGGTTGGTTTTCTGTAAACTTCAATGTTGAGGCTGTCCTCTCATTCCATCTGAATCAAACAGTCCAAAAAAGGCAGTTTGTTGTCGTTTGCATCCTCTCTGGTGAACTTGATGTTGTTATCGACCGAGTTGATGTGTCTGGTGAACGCTTCTATTTCCTTAGCTTGGATTTTGACCCAGGTGTCATCCACATATCGGAATCAATGGCTTGGCGTTGTTCCCTCATATGAGTTTAGGGCTCTCTGTTCCACTTCCTCCATGTAGAGATTGGCAACAATGGGTGACACTGGAGATCCCATAGCACAGCCGTGCTTCTGTCTGTAAAAACTGTCACTGAACTTGAAATAAGTGGTGGAGAGGCAGAGATCCAACAGGGTGTAGTTATACATATGTACTTTGTATGTGTGTCTTATCTCACTCAGCCTTATAACCTGAACCCCTCACTCTCTGCTCTTTGAATTGAGAAAGCTCCTTGGATGGGGAGCAAAACATCTTCTGTTACAAATAAAGTCCAGTTGTTTTTGTATTGAACGTTTTTTGGTTTTATCATGTCCTGGATGACTGAGAATCTTCACCAGCATTTAGTAGCTCTAATTCAACCAGTTAGTCATTTAGATCTAAGTTTTGGGTAGAAAAAGTAATCCAGTAAAATGATAACCCAGCCCTGTAGAGGTAAATCTACCCAGTGTTGGCTCAGTCCAAATTTTTCCTGGTGCTTTTTACAGTCTGGGTTGTTTTTAACTCAGCAGTTTTTAGTGTGCACTTCTTTAATTATTAAATTTTTTTCCCAAATGGGATATTTCCCTCAATAGTTTATTTATGTATTCAGGACTTGCAGATAATCAGCACCGATGATAACCAGGTGGTGACAGCGATTCAGAACTGGCACCAGAACGATTCATACAACCTGTACATGTCGGAACACAGAGGGCTGTTCTTCACACTGATGCTGGAGGACGTTGTGAGCAGTGGAGGTCCGGACGACAACATCATGATAGACCTGTATGAGGTAGGCAGCAGCAGTGCTGTGTGGTGGCTGCTGTCATCCAATTACTGTACATGACTTTATTTTTTCCAAACGGTTCTTTATCTGATCCAATTAAAACATAGGAAGTCCAAAACTTAAGCAATAGTTCATTTCTGTTCTGTTTTTCTTTGCTCTGTAGTTGATTCATATGGCTTCCTTATAATAGAACATCTGCTGACAGATGACATTCATGCAGCAATTTAGTGTCTTTTCTCATTAGGACTGATTTCACACTTTTTTTTTTTTTTTTCATGTAATGATATTGCTAGGTGATGTTTTGTATACATACCTCATAGTTTCAGTGGAGGTTTAATAACAGCTTTAAGTTGTGCACTGAACATAAATCAGTGTTGACAGATCCACTGTGAGGTTGCAGAGACCACACACGTACGCATCACTGTGCATTATCCTCATCTTCAGCCAGCAGTGAAAGTATCATGTTGTTACAGTCACACACCTCTTGTAGCCACCAGCGGTGGCAGAGATGACCTCTGCTCTCATCCATGGTTATGAAACGGTCTTTTCTGACACCAATTTGTAAAAATAATAATAATAATAAAAAAAAAAAAACGAGGAGAGATGTGAACTGTAGTGATTGCTATGTGTAAAACTGCATTAGTGCACATAAATGCTAAAAAAAAGACATGATATCTCAGGGCTGTGCCATATGTTGTTTTGATGCCACACAGTCCTACAAAATAGTGCTCTGTGTCAGAAAAGCTCTCACTCTCAGATATGTCCTCTCAAAACTAAACCCAGCTCACTTGTAAGAATATAAATATATTTTTGTTATTTTTTTTTTCCTCCTTTTCTTGTTATGCTTCTCCATTCCGCTCCCCACCTCTCATATGTGCAGGTTGCAGGGATTAAAGGCGTGTTCCTGTCAAATAAAGTTGTTGAAAACCAAGTAAAAACTTATATCACATACAACAAGGGCAAAGACTGGCGTCTTCTTTCGGCTCCAACAACCGATCTCCAGGGAAACAGGGTCTATTGTGAACAAGTAAGTGGGCCACTGACAAGAGATAGATATAGTTATTTGGATTTCCATTATCTGCTCTCAAAAGTCCTCTGCTGAAATACTGCATACTGTAGCACTGTTAAAGACAGTGAATATATGTTTCAAGGCAACACAGTGTTCTGAAGTGGAGCAGGCTTTGATATTTCTTCTGAAAGCTCATTATTATTATTAGTGATGTTAAAAAGACTCAGATATGTTCAACATGGCTGCTACTGAATACCTGTAAATGCAAAAATAAGTTATTTAGCAAACATGCTATTTTTGGTAAAACAAAACAATACCTGAATTGATCCATGCATTTATATGTAGATCAATATGTTTTTTTTTTTTTAATTATTATTATAGATGATGTGGTGTAAAATAAAATTAATTAGGTTAGCGAGTTGAAAACGCTGCCTCTAAAGTAAAATCATATATGGCATATCTTTACAGTAGTAACAAATAAATAAATCCCCTTATAAAGGTATTTATAAATTTTGTCAGTGCATTCATCTACATCATCATCTGCAGGCAAACAACATTTAAATGGACTGAACCCCCCCCCCCCCCCAAAAAAAAAACACACACACACTAGCTATGTTTAACTACCTCAAATGATTTCTTACATCTGTAGTAAAACTACCCGCATAACCTGAAAAGCACGGTTTAAATGTACTTTATATTTTAATGAAAATTACTTTGCATCATTTCAAATATAAATTCCCCAGTACTAACAATGTTTTAGCAAAATATATATTTTTAAAAGTGTTGATTTTTTTTTTTTCACTATTCATTTTTTAGTAGTTTGCTACCGAGGACTTTTTGTATTGAACTGATGCAACACCTGCTATTGTTGAATATAATACTATTGCAACAGCTTCGCTATGAATTATATTTTTATGAAACTTGCCCAAGTTTTTATTTATTTATTTGTTGTGGAGAAATAGCAGGTTACTTAACTTTGTGCTCATGATTGAGACCTTCTGAGATATTCTTGACTGTGGATAAAATACATATTTGGAATATTTTGTCCTGCTCTTGATGGAGAACAAAATAATAAATAAATAAATAAATAAAGCAAAGGCCATGTTGGCAAACATTAATCATCCACTCAGAGTTTTGCCTTTTGCCATTAGGGAGGAGGTACACTTTTCCTAACCAGGCCAAGTCTACAGAATACTTTAGATCATTTTTCCCATCAGCTGTCGGATGCCTTAACAAGCTATAGGTCATCTTACTACATATATGAATTCTCATAGGAACATACATCTATTTTTTATTCACATATATCGCTGTGTGTCTGTGTATTTATGTCCTTGTTTTATTGTGTCACACAGTTGAATGTGCATCTGTACTGACAACTTTTGTAATACCTAACTCCAGAATTATGTGTTTTTAGTTTATAATAGGTGACTGACTTATTTAAGTTTTCTAGCATTAAACTATTTTCTAAGTACCATAAATGTTCAGTTACTTTCCTATTTTCTTGTGCAAATATCTTTTCTTGTGCATTGTTGGTATTCATCCCTGATGAAGACATGACTCAGGTCTGTAAATCCAACTTTTCTATTTTCCATTTTGACCCCCTCAAATGAATCTTCTCATTGTATGACAGCCGTACTGCTCGTTGCACCTGCACCTTCACGTCTCGGAGAACCCTTACGCCTCGGGAAACATTGTCAGCAAAGACACTGCTCCGGGAATTATAATAGCATCAGGTGAGATTTGACTTGCACTGGAAACCTGCACAATCACATTTTTTGTTTACTTTTTTACCACTAATGCTGTTCTTTCATCACTTCCCTCAGCTCGCTCAGTCAGTTTTTATTTTATATTGTTGTTTAGCTCTTTTTCTAGCACCGTCCTTCACAGCTGACAACAATTTACAATGCGAGATCTTATCTGTCTTTCCTGCACATCTGCTCCATGCTACTCCAGCGGGACGAATAACAACACTGTTTGTAATACTTGTTGGAATAATCAGTGTCTTTTTTATTATTATTGATTTGTATTTAGGTGTGGTTGGGCCTGAGCTGACAAATGCAAATGTCAGCATCTTCGTCACGTCTGATGCTGGAAACACATGGAGAGAGGTAAAACATACTGTGAGGCTTTATGTGTGACGCTCCCTGCATGTGGGTGTGCAAGCACATTTTTAAATGTTTTAATCTGCTGAGTGAGTAGGTCCATGCCATATCTTTTTATTTGTACATCAATAAAAAAAAAATGCTTCCATTGTACATACTGTTATATACAGTAGTCCCTCGCTACTTCACAGTTCGTTTAGCGTGGATTCACTCTATCGCGGTTTTTCAAAATAAGAGTTGACATGACACACAATTGGCCGATTGTTTAGAAACACTGTTTAGAATAATGCAAGAGTATGGGAAAGCTTTAAAAAGCCTTTAT